GACACCTACAAGTGAGACTGCCATGATGCAGGGTGCCCAAGCTGGCCCGCACACCTGTCCGTTGTGCTTCTATCCTCCTGCAGTCGCATCCGTGTCGATTTCCAGCCGAGTAAACCTCAGGTTGGGATCGTACTGGATGAGTCCTGGAAAAGGCCTGAGCAGAAGAGGGGTGCCAGTAGGGGGCCCACGGAAGGAGGTCCCTAGACGGCTGAACAGGCCACCTGCTTTCCATGAGCACCTGGGTAGGTCGGAGATCGGGGATGGGCGACCTCTGGGCTCCTCTTGTGGTCCTCTTGGGAGCCTGCGCAGTTAACTTAATGTTTGAGTCGGGTAAGCCCTGCTCTTGTGGTGAGCGGTCCTCCGTTGTGTTATCTGGAGTCGGATTATGTACACCGGCTTGCTGCTGCGAGGAGGCTGACGGGGGGACCTGAGCGAGCCTGCCAGAATATTCTGCTGAGCGCCAAACGCGCTCAGCTTGTGTTAATGTCAGAGTGGTAGGCGTACTTGGAGATCGTGTACCAGCTGGTGTGCTCGGGGAGCGTGCGGTAGCTGGCCACTTCGTACGCGACCTTGATGCTCCTCCTGCTGGTGCAAGGGGAGCTCTGTCGGAATATTCCTCGTCGTCTTCGTCCATGTAGTCTGCTGCGCGAGGCTTACGAGTGTGCGTCATCTGGGTGCGCGCCTCGGCCTGCTTGCGCTCACTGTCCTGCTTCTCATTGTCCTCTAGGTCCTTGAAATGTTCGAGAAGGTCTTCAGCGTGTGCCACCTCGACATGTAGTGCATGCACCTGAGCAACACATGAGTCAAGTGGCCTCCGTCAGCCTGCGCTTCGCTCGGCTGACAAAGCTGAGCTGCTCGGCAGTGCGGGCGGAGGCTGTGCGCGAGTACATGAGCTGGTAAAGTACCACAGCGTACTCGTGTCGTAGAGCCTGTACCTGCGATGCGTCCATCTTGAGCTCCTGGGAACATTTGATATGACGCTCTAGGCCCTCTAGTGTGGAGCCTACGGCCTTCCTGTACTAACCAATCTCCTGCGGACTCTCTGGGGGGTCCTGCCAACGCCTGTGGGCGCGGGCCTCCTCCGGCGAGCACGGCATGATATTAATGGTCTCCTCCTCCGCGTTGCTGCTGTGCGCCGCTGGGCGGCGCGAGCTGGAGCGTCTCCACGGCAGGGAGGCTGTAGGTTGGTCTGTGGCTGGCTTAGTCGCTGGCTGATCCGGGTGGCACTTCTCACACTTGGCGATATCCCACTTGTTGTGATGATTACAGGCAGGGCACTCCCAAAGATACCGTTGCTGTCCGTGCTGGTGCCCTTGCCACTGTTGTCTTCGTCTGGATGGCTGTCTCGAGCGCGCGGAATATTGACTGCGCTGAGTACTCCACGTCATGCTGCTGTGATGATGGGCCAATGGATATGATGCGGCTGCGATCCTCAGCAGAGTCTTGGCTCTGCCTCTCTCTGCCCTGGCTCGACGATGCCAAGCTGGTTCACCTTGGGATTCACGGCTGGCCCTCCTGCCGCGCGCCGTGGCTGCGGGGGCGCGCTGGTGGGCGGGCGCGTGTCGCAGCAGTCCCGCGCGAGAAGTTTCGCCGTGCCTGGCACGGCTCCCACAAACCTCTCGGGCCGGGACGGCGGCTGAGGGGGAGGGGGAGGAGGAGGAGGAGGAGGAGGGGGAGGAGTGACAATATATTGGGGCAACGCGTGTCTCCGAAGCGCCCGACGGCCGATGATAATCAGCGGCGGGACAGGCAGCACGGCTGACGATTAGCGCCAAAGTAGGGCACGTGCTCTGCACTCGACGTGGGGAGGAGGAGCAGGAGGAGGAGGAGGAGGAGGAGGAGGAGGAGGAGGAGGAGGAGGGTGCTAAGGGTGCTGACTAAATCGAACGGGTCGGGACCCGAACGCTCGGCGCTACGGCCGCGAAAGGAGCTCAATCAGATTCCTCTGAAAGCTCGAAATATTCGGACCGCTCCCGAGTTTCCAACTCCTTGGCCCACCGCACAACAGCAGAGGGGTCCGGGAAACCGTGGAGGGTCGCAACTTCAAAATCGATCAGCCGAGGGAGCGATAATCCATAGACCGACGACGACGACGCCGACGACGACGACGGAGGAGGAGGAGGAGGAGGAGGAGGAGGAGGAGAAGGGCCAGTACGCTGCGGGGCGCCGGTTCGTCGACCGCGACGGCTAGATACCTCGACATTCGAACGCGGTCACAGAGACGAGCCTCCGGACATGGAGTGGGGACGGGCTGCGAGGGTAACCGACCACCAAGGAGCATGGAAAGGGCTGGGCGCTTCTGAGGACCCGTGTCCTGCATGAGCGGCTGGTGAACTCGAGCGACAACATTCGATATCGCAACAACTGGCGTTGACGAAGGGTTGAGCTCTACATCGCCCTCGGTACAGTAGGGGCCCGACCACGAGAAACCTTCCACAAAAAATCCAACCCTGAGACCCCAGGAAGTTATTTTTTTGTGGGAGGGGCGTCACGCTTCCCATCGCAAGACCATCGAACCCCAAGAAACCCAGAGCACCCTAGAGGCAAGCAGGATATTTCTTGGCGTGGGCCTCCGCTGGAATGGCACAGGCAAGACATCGTCGCGAAGCCTCTCTTGCAGAAGACGCGAGGGGGGGAGAGGAGAAGGAAGAGAACGGAGGAGCGGGAGAGGAGGCGCACACAGTATGTGAACGGGCTTGGCGCTGACAGCTCACTCTCGGCACGCGAAGACAGCAGCCTGAATGGCACGAGCCACGGCGGCGGCGGGCGGGCGCTCTTCGCCAAGCCTTGACCTCGTTATGGAAGTGCAACAACGCGACGCGTCGAATGGCGGAGCGACGACCCAGCGGGCCAGACGGAGGCTAGAAGGTGCCGAGAGTCCACCGTGGTGGGTCGGCATGTGCCGGGGTCGAGGGAGGAAAGAAGACGCCAGAGAGGCAGGCGCACGTGAGGTAGTGGCGGAAGTCGTGGACGGCGCGTGCGTCGGGGCACCCGAAACGACAGGCCCAACCACGAAGGACGCGCATGCGTCCACGAGTCGTCCATCCGCCCCCGCATGAGGAGGAGGAGCACGAGGAGGAGGAGGACGAGGAGGACTAGGGCAAATCTAAGACTCATCAGCGATGTTGGAAGTACAACCTCCCTCCAAGCTCCCTCGTCATAGGCCCCTACAACAATTGACATCCACTGGGGGAACTGCCCAGCTGAAAACGACCGTGTAAATCCTGAAGCGTGCCCAAAAACGGTTCTCAGGACTGAAACGCCACAAGTTAACCTGATTGTGAGGTTTTGGCGATCCTGAATCGTGCCAGAACGCCACTCCTGGGACTTCAACACAGCGAACCAACGTAACAGTGACGCCCTGACAATAATGAGTCGGTCCAACACACCTTCTCTGGTACGTTGGCCGTAAACATGAAAGAACATTCTGCGAACTTTTAGAACCAATGCGCGCGGCGATAAGGCGAGAGCCACATGTTGAAAAAGAACTGCCCTCAATACGTAAAACCCTTGCAAACTTTGAGACGGATGTGCGCGTCGCTGAGGCGAGAATCACAGTTTGAGAACGAACCACCCTCAATCTGTGCAGCCCTTGCGAACTTTCAAACGACTGTGCGCGGCGCTAAAGCGAAAAAAAACATTTTGAAAACGAGCCGCCTTCGATCCGCGAAACCCTTGCAATCATTCAAGACACATGTGCGCGGCGCTTAGGCAGGAGCCACATTTCGAAAACCACCCGACATCAATCCGTAAAGCTCTTGCAAACTCTAAAGGCAAATGTGCGCGGCGCTCGGGCGAGAGCCGCATCTTGAGAACGACCCGACTTCGATCCACGAAGCTCTTGCAATACGTCAAGACGATTGAGCGCGGTGCTAAAGCGAGAGCCTCATTTTGAAAACCACCCGCCCTCCATCTGCGAAGCTGTTCTCAATTTCTAAGCTTCAAGGTCACACATGGCAAGGAAGCCTCCGGCGAAACGCCGGGCCCGCCCTCTCGACAGGCATCGACGTGCGACAGGAAGAAATTCACTCAGAATAAGGACAAGCATGGAGCGGCAGCGATCAAGAATGCGGGCCCCAAGAATATACACCACCACCACCACCTCCACCACCACCACCATGTCGACTCCTCCTGCCACCTCTACCCTCATACTCGTTTCCCATTTCCTGGGAGAGGGCAGGGGTGAGGGAGGTGGTGGTGGTGTATATATGTTTGCAGGGGAATGAGCAATGATAGAAGCGTAAAAACTCGTAGGTCCGCGCGGATCTCTCGGATCGGCGTTGGACCCCCCGCCCTTGCGCGAGGAGCGCGCCAGGGGCGGCGCCGCCGGGGGGCCCAGCGCGGAACCGAGAAATCCGGGTGGACCTCCGAGTTTTTATGCTCATGTCATTGTTTATTCCCCTACAAACATGTACGCCACCACCACCACCTCCCTCACCCCCCGCCCTCCCCCAGGAAAGGGGAAAGGAGTAGGGGGGGCAGAGACGGGAGGAGGAATCGACGTGGTGGTGGTGTGTATACCTGGGCCCCGTAAATTGAGCAGGGACCGACCGTCCCGGCATTTCTATAGGCCTACCACGAAGTGTTCTTGGAACCCATACATGTTGTAAGAACAAAAACAATGTTCTTAGAACGTATTCCCGACGTGTGAAAACAAGACAGTCCAGGCCAGAAGTGTTCTCAGAACGTTTCGTGGAAACCACAAGAGGTTCTCAGAGCATTGCTTGGTAGGCCTATCGGCACGCCAGGACGCTTCGCCACTGCTTGAGTGTAAAGAACGCGCCCTCCCTCACCCCCGCCCTCCCCCACCTCCCTCACGCCCGCCCTCCCCCACCTCCCTCACCCCCGCCCTCCCCCAGGAAGGGGGAAAGGAGGAGGGGGGGCAGAGGAGAGAGGAGGAGTCGACGTGGTGGTGGTGTGTACACCCGGGGCCCCGCAGAGAGCACCCGACCCGGCCCCGCGCCCACAGGGCGAGAGAGGGCGCGGCGGGGTCGCCGGGCTCCTCGGGCCCGGACGGCGCGGTGGGCGCGGTGCCGCGCGGCCTCGGGGGCCGAGGCCCGCCCCTGGCCGCGACCGCCCCCCCCCCCCGGGCCCCCTGCGAGGGGCCCTCCCCGCTCGGCCCATAATGGGGCGAAGGTCCCGGTGCAGGCAGGGATCCTGGTGTGTGCGTTGTCGTCGCTTCCCCCGGGGAATTAGGGGGAAAACAAACCTACCTCGTTTTTGACCACCCTCGCTTCCAAGAGATACCAAACGATGCCAAACTACGGCCTGTACTGGTCAGGCCGCTTGACGAGGAGGCGCGTGGTATGACTTGGTTTTGCCTGGAAGCGAAAGCGGGGTAGGGAATTCACGCTCTGAGGAAAGCGGGGGAAAAGTTTCCACGCCACACCACTCCGAAGTCGTCCCCGACCCTCACAGAGTCCTGGGCTTGAGAAACAGCCCGCCACTGGTAATGCATATGCTCAAGTTTCCGACCTCCGATCCTGTCTCGGGGGCACGCAAGCAGGTATTAGCGATCCATGGATTTGGCGCGCGGTCGCCAAATCCATGGATCGGGGAAGGTGCCCTCCCCAAAATGCGGCCAGTGCCAAACCCGTTCGGCGGCGGAAGTCCGCGGTTTCCCATGGAAACGGGACCCGTCGCTAGTCCACGCCCCCTTGATCCATGTTTGCGATCGCCTGAGAAGACAAGATCGGGGCAGAATCGGATGGGGATACACGCTGGCGGTGCTTCACGCGTGGGGGGGGGGAAGTGGTGGCGGGTCGCGGGTCGCGGGCCGCCGGAGAGGGGCGTTGCGAAGGCCCACAAGGGGCCCCCTGGGGCCCAGGGGGTGCACGAAGGGTGCACCCTTCGTCACCTCCCATTTTTGCCCCTCCCCCCCCCCGACTCACCCACCCACCCCCCTTCAGCAACGACCGAGCAATCAGGAACCCCTGAGGCCTGGCGGCTCTGGAGGCTGTGCTTCTCGGGCGCAGCGGCGGTTCCCGAGCGTTCTGGGGACGGCTCTGCGAGCGCTCCGCGGAACGCCCTGGAGCGACCCAGCCCGAGTCGGACCGGATAGACGGGGTCGGAGGATCGCGCCGCATCAGCAATGCATCGACGATGCATCGGCGACGTCGGCAGTGCATCGGCGACGTCGGCGTGAGCTCCACATCGAGCCGCATCGCCGATGCATCGGCGATGCGGCGCGATCCTCCGACCACATCTGCTCCGAAACCACATGGGCACATGGGAGGCCTAGACCCAGATGACGCGAGAAGTGGCCACGCCGCGCGATCCAATTCCGCGGCAGCGGCACCGCTCTCGCCGTGCACGCCGCGCGCCCTGCCGCCTGGTGTCGCACGAGCCCGTGGGTTCGCCCGACTCGGGCGGAGGGCCGGAAAGCGGGAAATGGACGTGGACAGCTCATGAACGTCAAACGTAACTGGAGGCCGGCTAGATGGGGTCCGACTAGATGACTAGATGTGGGTTGGAGGATCGTGCCGCATCGCCGGTGCATCGCCGATGTATCGGCGACGTCGGAGATGCATCGGCGACGTCGGCGTGGACAAATTGGGCCCCACAGCGTGCCGCATCGCCGCTGCATCGGCGAGCAATGCGACGCGATAATCTGGCCAGCTCTCGTCGGACCCAATATGAGAGGCCTCTAGACTATCCATGTATCCATGCCCTCGCGCTGTGGATTGCGGTTCCGTAGATACGCGGCCGAATGGACACGCTTTGCGCGAGAGGCATCCCGTGTCCACGGGGTCGCGGCCCAGGGGCCCTGCCCGCTAGGCCGTGGATGTGTCTCGCCCGCGAACAAAAGGTGGGGGGAGGACCCGAGCCACGAACAAACGGGGCGAGGAGGGCCGAGACTGGAATGAGTTGTGCACGCCGTGATGCACCGTCTCGAGGTTCGCAGAGTCTGCTCGGACACGGACAGAACCAGGGGCGAATGTACTTCTTTCCGACAGAAGCCCGCAGCAAAGCGGAGTCCGCAGCAGTCAGCATTGCTGGAGGCCCCATCCGAAGGCCCTAGCAGAATTATCAACGCGACAGGGCGAGGGATGACGCCCAAATCAACGAAGAACACATGATGTTGAACGATTTTGGCGTCTCGGGGATGGCATTGGGAGGCCCCGTGCCAACCTGAAGCCGCCTTAGGGCGGCATTTGAACGTTGATTGGAGACATGTTGGAAGCTAAATGGACACATGTCGAGACAGGTTGGGACATCTCGGAAACCATCTTGGATTAAGTTGTACTGGATCTTCGTTGGGCCATCTTGGACACAACTGCCTGAGGGTACCACGGCAAAGTTGACCATTGCGTGCTTGTGGGCGCCACCATGAGCTTGCGAGCAACAGCAGCAACACCACACGACAATAGTATGCGGAAACTTGCCGACATCACGACAGTCTGCGACCACCACAACGCTTGCGAGCACCACAATAACCTGCGAGCACCACAGCGTGCTTTTGAGCATCACCGTGCTCCTGCGAACAACAGCAGCACGTCTATGCCAACAGTATGCTGGACCTTGTCACTACCAGAAAAACCCGCGGCCACACACGATTACTGCGAGCACCGTAATAATGAGCCTGCGAGCACCACGGCGTGCTTGCCGAAACCACACTGCGCCTGCGAACACCAGCATCACATGTATGCAACAACCATATGCTACATCTGCCAGTACCACCAAAACCAGCCAGCGCCACTATATGCTTGAGGGCACCACTGTCGCCTGCGAGCGCCTCAACCAGCGTCGCACGAGCACCAGAGTGCGCCTGTGACCAACAACAGCAACACGCGTATGCACAACGTAATGCCGGACTTTGCCGGCAACGCACTAATCTTCGGGCTCCACACCATGCCACGCAGAAGGAGACGGAGGTGGGGGAGGAGGCGCGGGAGGAGGGCAAGGGAGGACCCCCTGTGGCGACTGCACCTGGTGCACCCCCCCCCGGCGCCCGCAAGCTTACCCGGCAGCACGGGCCCGAGGCGGCCGAGGCAGCCACCCCGGGCGCGGCGGATCTTTCTGCAACAGGGCCGCCTCGATGTCCACTGACGCCTCGGCTTGGGGGTGGCCCCCCTTCGGGGGGGGGGGGCAAAGGCGTCCCTGGCCCGAGGTGTCCTCGGCTCTTCACGCCACTGTGAGGCATCTGGGGTCCCTTGGGCCTCGCAAGGGACGCCCTGGAGGCCGTCCAATCTTCCCGGGAAATCCTAGGGACGCCTTGAGCCAGGGACACTTGAAGCAACCCTGGACCTTTTGGTCGCCCTGCGGTGCGGGGAGGGGACACAGCGCCGTTCTGGCGTCTGCGAGCGCGGGGAGCTCCGATTCCTGAGTCAGTGTATGAGTTGAGCTGCGGCGGCTTTTCTGACACTCGCACGCTTTCAGCGAAAGATCAGTCGGCCGCCAAGGAAACACGACTCCACAACTATCAGGCGCCATCCAGAACCAAGATAAACATGTCTGAAACGAGAGCATCCAGAGTGGGCTTCCAGATCCACTCCTCCTCCCCGTCCTCCCTGGGAGCGCCCCAACAATTGTCCCCCAACCACTAGGTCAGGCACCTGTGCGTGCCTCGCGGGCTCCTGCGAGATCATAATCGGGCCACGGTCTTTGGCATCTCGACCGTGCAGCTACAGTGTCTCACTGGTGGATCGTTTGCGGGAGGTCGCGGCATGCCTCCCGAAGGAGCCTCTCGGTAGCGCATCTCGCCTTGCACAGCCGCCCCATCGGCAGCCCATCGCTGACTCCTTTGATGATCCAACATTCAAGTTTCACTACAATGTCTGTCTCACTGCTGTTTCGCCGCGCATCTGAGTGCAGCAATGGCGGGCCCCTTGTGGGGATTCGGTCAGAATCGCGCTCCTGGACAACGAAAAGCACAGAGAACTAAGCCTCGGAACCGGTCACGTCTCCTTGGTAAGGCAAGCCATGTTTCGTAGGCGGTTCTTGCAAAAACGCGTTTCAGGACCTTGCAACCCTCCTCTCCGATCCTCGTTCATGATATCCTGAACTGGGTTTGGACGGATGAGCACCTCAAAAATACTACTGGCCCTGAGGGCGTAGGTGGTTTAGCGGAGGTGGCTCCAGGAGAGGCCCAGACAGCCCAAGATGGCCTCCAAGATGGCACAAGGTAGCTCAGAATGGCTCGAAATAGCCTCCAGCATACCTACAAGAGGGCCCAAGACAACCCAACGACGACCCCAAGTGGCCTCGGAGCCTCCCAAGGACGCCCCCGAGAGGCCAACAGCCTTCTAACACGTAAGGGCAAACAGCGCTGTGTTTGCCGTCTCGCCTATGCGTGGCTTTTGGGATGGTTCCAATGGCCCAAGAAGCCCCATGAGGGGCGCAAGGGAGCTCCAAGACGGCCCCAACACGGCCTCAGAAGCGCCTCGGAACTGCAACAAGAGACGAATTTAAGGGCACCGATGGGGGGACGCTAATTAAGACCCTCCTTCGCTCAAACTAAAATCATTGAAAACCGTTAGTTCTTGACGGGTGCTCACGTCTCGGGGGCTTCCTGAAGAGGCTTGTGGGCCAAGATGGCGCAAGATGGTTCAAGATCACCTCCAATATACATCCAAGAGGCCCAAAGATCGCCCCAAAACGGCTCGAAGTGAGCACGGAGTCTCCCAACAACGACGCCCCCGAGATTCCCAAATCCTCCAAAACCTTTTGAGAAATCAATACTGCTTGCCTTCTCGCACTGTCGCTTCCAACTGGCTTGTGACGCTTCAGGATGACTCAAAAGTGGCACAAAAGAGCCCCAAAAGAGCCCTAAGAGGAGCCCAGGAGTGCTCGAAGACGGCACCGAAAGCGCCCAAGAGAGCTCGAAGAAACAAATTTGAGGGCTCCGACGGGGGGGGCGCAGTTTAAGATGCCGTCCATCTTTGATCGATGGCTTCCACGATGACCGCACGAGGGCCCCTAAGGTCCCCAAAATGGCCTCAAGAAAACCCGAACGACCTCCAAAATGGCCCCGAGAGGACCCCAAGATGATCCAAATTCTCCCATATCGACAGACCAGTGAAGACATGTATGGTTGACTCCTGGGTCTGCTCAGGCTGATCATGAGATTCGGTTTGACGGTTGGAGGACTCCTTGTTCACTTCCCGGATCAAGCCAGCTCGCCTGGGCATCGTTCCTGCATGGGTTCGTGGGGATACTTTTGATCGCGACCGCGGCGAAGAAAAGACCGGGCGGCGTCCAGGGAACTGCAGACTAGCAACGGCCTAAATTAGCGCAAAGGAAAAGGAAGGGCGAAAAGGAAACAAGACCAAGCAGGGGAAGAGGCTAACAGGAGACGAGCCTCGCTGCCGCTCAATGGAGGGCGCCCGCCTGGAGGTACATCCAGGCGACGTGCAGCACCAGGTGGCAATTCGAGTAGCCAATCACGTCCCTGACGAGGAAGACCGGGCTGGTGGGGATACTTTTTGGGTCGGCGGCTCCCAAGCAACGGACAGGGAGCGGAAGCGGCGTCCGGGTCACGGTGCGAGGCTAATTCGCAAAAAATGCGTGGTGTGCACATGCAGTGAGCAAAAAGCTCCACATTAAGGCGAACGCCGCCAGCCACACCGAAGTGAAGCAGACCGCAGTGCAGTGCAACGGAGGAGTCGCCATGACGGCGCCAAGCTCCGAGCAGCTCTCCTAGCCGAAAGCGGGCAGGTAGAACCGAAGCGACACGCTGAGGCTGAACCACTCAGCGTGAAGTCCGTCCCACCGCCGTACGCGGGGTCGGCTAAGACAGGGGCAGAGGAACGGCAGGGACCTACAGAGCTCTCACTCCACGATCCACACCGCTGCCCAGGGGAGGGCCGGTGTGTCAGCCACCGATTCCGAAACCAGTGACAGGCCAGGAAGCGGTGAAGAGGACACGCAGGCCCAAGCGCCAGTAGGCTGCCGCCTAGCGGGTAACGGCCGAAGGTCGCCGAGGTACGCTGCAGCCGCGGCCAGCTCATAGGCGCTGGAGCGCAGTCAGGGCTGAATATGACCACAGAGAGAGCAGGGGAACGGCAAGTACCTACAGAGCACTCATTCCACGGACCGCACCGCTGCCAGGGGGGGGGCCGGTGTGTCGTTCATCGTATCCGAAACCAGTGGCTGGCCGGGGCTGCAACGGCTGGTGGGGATACGCGAAGCGTCAAGAATCGGGGCTAGAGTCGATAGGGGTTGACGGCAACAGTTGGGCAGAACACGTTCGCCGTTGGGCGGACAACATGTGTTGTGACACCGACACCCTGCCATCGCTCGGACGTCCATTCCCGGTGCATGTATCGGTTTCGTACGCTGTTTTGCCAAATTCTCAAAGATGCTCCTCGATGGTCCCCGCCGAAACAAATGCACATGTCCGAGCGATGCCAAGCCACAGCGAAACCTGTCCAGTCTAAGCTGCCACGATACGGAAAACGCAACCCGTAGCGTGTCGACACGGAGCTCCGCACGCAGACTGAGAACGTATATGTCTGGCGCGAAACGTCTGCCAAAACGTGGCGTGGGCCAACACGTGCATAAGAGAGTTGTCGCTGCAAATTGCAGACGAGCTGCAGCGAATTTTTGCGCGGATCCCTGTCAATGCCAAACCCCGAAGCGGCGAGCGAAAAACGAAGTGATAATCACGTGAATATGTTGTAATCTTCATTCCCGGCCACAAGAATTCTCACTAAATGACTTCGAAATCCGGAAAGAAGCTCTCCAGGAACATACGGGCCCATCCCAATTTTTCCTCACGAAATCCGCTCTGCGATGTTGGCGCCATGAGATTTCTGTTGAACACGGTACGTGTTGCGTTTCAACGCATGCGTGTCAGGGCCGCTCAGATTCCAACATGAACGCCATGTGCTGCCCGTCCCGGCCACTGCACCCGACGCTCCTCGGCGGCGAGCGAGGGGGGGAAGTGAGGAGGGGCGGGCTTCTTCAGCAGGCTCGGAAGTCCCCCGGCCCCCCGAGAAAATTGCCGAGCCCTCAGTGGGCCCTGGGAACGACATGGCCGTTTTTCACCGGTTCCGTTTCGACGTTTTTGTTGCCGGTTCCGACGCCGTTTTTTACCTGTTCCGTCGCCGTTCTTTTACGGGTTCCCGCTCCGGCTCCAATCCTGGAGCCGTTTTTGTTGCCGTTTCCGGTCGCCGTTTTTTTGCCGCTCCCATTTTCAAGGGACACTTTTCGGAGACGGTGAAAAAATGGCCCTGCCGTTTCCGGGGCCCACTAAGGCCGAGCCTTCCCCGAATGAGGGCGCGAGGGCTTCGGAGAAACCCCGCCGCCTTCTGAGAAAGCCTTCTCCTTCCTACTTCCCCCCTCCCCGGACCCCCGACGTCGCGTTTTTGGTTCACAGCGTCGACCCCCAGAGACCTCAGCCCCTTCCCCAGGACCGGTCCCGCGGCCTGGTAAGGGCCTCCAGAGGCCGAGAACAGCGAAAACCCCCCCGTCGTGATTCATGTCACAGCGCGAGGTCCGGGTCGCTAGCCGCCGACTTCCTCGCTCGCCGCCGATCCAGCCTCGAACGAGCCGACCGGAGCCGCTGAGGCCAGGTCGTCCGCGCCTCCGCCGCGCCACTCTGGGACGTCCGCCAAGAGCTGCGGCGGCGCGGCGAGGCGGGGCCCCCGCCCGCAAACCCACCGACCCCTTCGTGTTCGACCATGGATCCCTTGTTGCCCATGCTCCTGGGCTGTCTTCGGCGGTCTTCGGGTGGCCTTCGGCGGTCTTCGGTGGTCTTCTCATGGTCTTCGGCGGCTTCCGGCGGTCTTTGGCGGTTTCCAGCGGCTTTCGGCGCGAAAAGCTGGACGGCTGCGTTCAACAAGGGGTCCATAAGCGAACACCTAACGACACCATCTGGTTGGTCCAGGATCCCGGCACCGCTCAGCACAGCACCGCACGACCAAGCCGAGCTCTGGCCCCCACCACACCACCCGTGGCGCCGCGGAGCGAACACGCAGCACCGCACGGCGCGCACAGAACCACGGCTAGGACAGCCCACTCACTGACGGGGCCCAAGGACACACAAATAAATACACACAAATAAAAACATATTCCCCATATTTTCCCATAGCTTCTGGGTTTCTGTCTTCCCCCCCACTTCCCATATTTCCCCACATCTTCTGGGGAATCGAGGATGAATTGTGCCTGTGTGTGTTTTTCCTCTCCTGACCAATCTCCGACGATGCATTTTCTCTTCCACCCGCGGCCCCAGAGCTCGGGACCGCTTCCCCACGGGCAGCCTCTCCTCCCCCCGGCATCCCGGCAGCCGTCTCTGATTGCCCTGGGCCCCGAGCGCGGCCCCGAGAGGCCGAAGCTCAGGAGAAACGCTGGGGTGGGAAAAGCCGGCCCCCTCGGAGGTCTGGGCCGCCAGGCTCCCGAGAGCACGGCGCGGCACGGCGAGGCACGGCACGGCACGGAAGCACACCACCGGGGCGCGGCCCCGGGCTCCCGCACGGCCCGGCGCGCCACGACACCACGACGCGGCACGGCACACTGCAGGGCGCGGCGCCATGACGTCACGCTCTGGCCACGGGGCTCGGCGACACCCGAGGGAGGAGCGAGGAGGAGCGAGGGGGAGGCGAGGGAGAAGCGAGGGAGAAGCGAGGATCCCGTGCCTCTCTAACGGCACGGCGCCCTGAAAGCCTGCCGGGGTACGAGCCGGACCGCTCTGCGCAGGCTGCGCGGCCAGCAGTGCGCGTCCTCTCCGTGCCGGCGCGCGGAGGCGGAGGCGGAGGCCGTGCCCGTCGGGGGGCGGTCCTGCCCTCTCCCTGACGGTTCCGAGGATGGCCACCCTGACCGTCCAAGTGCCACACGCTTGCCTCCGAGGAGGAGGTCCTCCTCCTCCTGCTCCTGCTCCTGCTCCTGCTCCTGCTCGTCCTCCTCCTTCTCGCCCCCCTTGTGCACCCACACAGCCTCCTCGTGCTCCTCATCCTCCGTTGCATGATTGTGTTCTCCTCCTGCTCTTCCCCCTTATCGTCCTCTCCATGCCCGCTTCCCAGACACCACCATCACCACCCCCTCTCGTCCTCCTCCACTCCCCTACTCCACCTCTCCTCTCCCCTCCCCCCCAAATCTTCTCCTTCTGCTTATACGACAGGTTTATTCCCGACAGCGCCGCGTTGCCCTGTGCTGCAACCAATGAAACCACGCCCTGGCGCTGCTGAGAAGCCGCCGCGAAGCGCTCCCTTGAGCGCTACGGGTTCATCGGATCGCGCCGCTGCCGATGCTACCAGGACGCTGGAATACACACAAACAGATACACAAACACACACACACACACGCACGCACGCACGCATGCACGCACGCACGCACCCACCCACGCACACACACACACTAACACACACACACACACTAACACACATACATACACACACACGCACACACACACACACAGTAAGACACTAACACACACACACACACACACACACACACACACACACACTCTACTAACACACGCACACACACATACACACGCACACACACACACGCACACACACACACACCACACACACACACACACACACACACACACACACGCACGCACGCACACACACACACACACCCACACACACACACACACACACTCACACGCACACACTAACACACACACACACACTAACACCCACACACACACACACTACTAACACACACACACACACACACACGCACACACTAGCAAACACACACGTGTGTTGCGTCGGCGGCTAGGCAGAGTGACTGCGCTGGCGGAAGAGCAAAGGTTGCACGAACAAATGCGAATGAAGCCGCAGCGCGCGAGGGAAAGAGGAGGAACGCCTGGCGACGGCGGGAGGGAGGAATCCGGGCCCGCTCACACACACAGACATACACACACGCACACACTAACACACACACACACACACACACACACACGCACGCACGCACACACACACACACACACACACACACACACACACACACAAACACACGCACGCACGCACGCACACACACACACACACACACACACACACACACACGCACACACACACACTAACACACACACACACACACACACACACACACACGCACACACACACACACACACACGCGCGGCTGGATGCACATGTGGAGCATGCAGAGGGCACTCACCAGATACACACATGGAGGATCGCCGCGCCTGGCCCTCCGAGGGCCGAGCGCTGGAAAGACGTGCGGCCACGTGCCCGGCTCCGGCGTCCTGGCTCCACCCCGCCCCGCCGAGCCCGGCCGCGTCGCGTGTGCCCAGCTTCCTGCTAGCACATTGTCACCTGGGTTGAAGGACGAGCTGCCTTAGAAACGACGGCCGTCGCACGCCGAGGCTCGGAAATCGCCACTCGGCGACTCGCCCGAGAACTTCCAAAAGGTCAACCTGTGAGCTTCGGGCACTGTTTCCCGGATAGCTCCTTGGAGAGCTGCACTAGAAGCCGGCACCGCAGGGTGGCCCCAGAGCTCGTTCCGGCTTCCGTGAAAACACCTCGGCGCGCCTTGCCTGAGCCAGCAGCGGGTCCCGGCAGGCCTCTTCTGAGCGCTTCCCAATACGTCTGCCCGGAAGCTCTCCAGAAGCTCCTTCGGAGGCTCATTCCAGGAGCTTCCAGAGCTCCCTCGAGAGGTCTTTGGAAGGCATTCTGGTGCTCCGCTATCTGGGTTTTGGACTCCAGGAGGAGGGGAAGTAGGGAGAACGAATGAGGGAGGAGAGGAGAGAGGAAGTACGATGAAGGAAGGGGTGGAGGGCTAGGGGTGAGAAGGGCCCCGCTGAGGAACCAAGATTGATGTAGCCAGCCCGCCTACGCCTCCTCCTCCAGAACCACGAGAATCCTGAACCGCAAATGGGCCCGCCTCTACTCTGCACCCTGGCTCTACCACGAACGCAGCTGCTGCTATGGTGGGAATCGAATAAGGAGCCTTCGGGCTGAAAAGTGAGGGCGGTGGGGGGACAGAGGTTTTGCTCCCCACGGGAGGGTTTCGGTGGGGGGGCGAAGGGCGCTGCACCCCCACATGCCCCTGGGTAGTAGGAAAAAATGTGCGCGTGTGTGACATGATCAATAGTCATAGCGCGCGTGCTACAGATGTACAGGAGTATCATGGACACTTTTTGTGGTGTACTTCATATGTCCCCCAGAAAAAAAGAAAAACATCTATAGTAGCTGTGACTCGTCGGCGTAATCCCGTGAGCTAGTAGGGGTGACTCGAGGTCCTGGATGTGATGTCGCACGCCTGTGATCCCATAAAGGGTGTTTTTTTTATGGGTCTAGCGTATGATGTCAGAAAAATCCCGTGCGAGTAGGGGGCCCGGGGAGATCCCTGCGAATCCGAACGCCTCAAGGTCGGGGAACTGTTGGAATGTAGTTGGGTCCTTCGCGTCGATGCTTCAGCCATTTTGGCTTCCTGAGGGGGCTTACAGCCCCCCAGCGGGAGTGCATGGACGGTGTGCTGGCCAGGGCTTTAGGCCGTTTCGCTCACCACCATACGGTCCCAAGCAATGGGTGCTACATGCTTTTCCAGACGGCCGCGGCGCTCCGCAACGCCGTCCAGTCGGCTGGGGCCGTGTGCCCAGGCCAGCTCGGGGGGAGGGCAGGATGCAGCAAGATGATAGGCGAACAGTGCAGCATCGTGCTCTAGATGAATCAAGCAACATAAACATAGACGTTCGGAGGTCCGCTCGGGTTTGTTGGGTCGACGCTGGACCCCCTCGGCGGCGCCTCCAGCGCCTCCACTGGCGCGCTTCGCGCGCCAGGGAGGGAGGGCCAGCACAGCTCCAATAACTCCGCCGCGCAGACCTCCGAACATGTATGCTTATGTTGCTTGTCTGAGTGAAACGCCCCTGCAGGTTCAAAGATGGGGACGTGAAGGATTGGGCCCCACGGGTGAGGGGCCTCGAGCAATGCAAACTATGATTCGGGTCCCGTCTTATCTTTCATCTTATCTTTCGGGCCCCATCTTTGAACCTCCGATCTATGCCGTCGCTCCCCGCGCCGGTGGCAGGCGGATGGACTCCACCAACGTCGGGCCCGCCGTACTCAGTGCTCGACCTGGTGGACGTCCTGGCGCAGGCAGGTATGCATATGGGACCGACTGCCAGAGCTATGGGCCAGTTGGTGGATCACCAAGTCCACAGTGCTTTACTTCGAGGAGGGGCAGGGACAGATGGGGCAGGGAGAGGTACTCCTTCATTTACTTCGCCCTGGATTTCATGACCTCTGCACTTCCCTCCCCCACCCGCGCCGGCCCCTGCGCCAGCCCTGTCAACTCTTGCCCTCGCTCGTCGCTTTCCCCTCTCTGATGTTCCGTGGTGACCCGTGGTGTCCTGTGGTGTCCTGTTGAGTGAGATCGATCATGAGATCGTTGAGAGGGGCACGCGGGTGAGATAACATAGCATCGCATATCTCAAAATGGGGGAGGGGAGAACAACAACGTCATAGCGGAGCCGCAGAGGATGCGCCTCAAGAAGGCGCCGACGCTATAGTCTTGCGCACCCGCGCTTCGGCAAGAGGGGATGATGGACAGCTGGTGCTTCGTGGTTCAGAATCTCGGAGAGCTCTTGAGTCTGCGTTTCGGAACATGTCTCATCCAGATCTCGTTCGGGCTGCGTTGGATATCACTTTGCAGAGTCAGAGAGTACAGAACAAATCAGCCGAACGGTTAGCACAGATACAATTGATGACAAGAGAGGCCACGAAAGACAAGAAACGAATAGTCAAGCTTGAGACTGAGCTGGAGCAAATGAAATCCAGAATGCGCGGCTTCACCTTTGTGAAAGCGCCTCGGAAGCAAAAAACGGATGCAGACGGTGTGCCTGTGGAACCTGTGCGATACACTATGGAGAAGGAGGGGTGGTACAGACTGGGGTTCAAGAGGAACTACGGGTACGCTGGATGTCAGACTACTCTTCAGATGCTGGACACGGGGGTGGGTGGGGTCTCCTAGCTCAGCATGCCACTGGACCCTTACGCCCCTGACCCCATGCTTTTCATTTTGCTCCTCCCCCCTGAGTGCCATCCCCGTCTTGCCCGATCGCCCAATGATCAACCATTCGAGACTTTCCCTTGCCTTCTATCTCCAACCATCCCTGCTGCCTCCTACCTCCCTTGCCTCCTACCTCCCTTGCCTCCTACCTCCCTTGCCTCCTACCTCCTGCTGCCGCTGCGTCCCTCCCTCCTGCTTCGTGCGTCTCTGTTTCTTTCGTGCGTTCGCAGAGTGGAGCGCGGGCAGTGGACAGGAAGCGCCTGTGTCCGACAGAACGGCGGCCAAGGCTGAGAACCTCACCAGGGCTGCCATATTTTGCCAAGGCGTGAATTATTTCAGAACTGAGTTTGCTAAGTTGGCTGAGTATTTGGACATCATGTGCAGTCATCCTGGGCCGTGTGCCCGCTATGCCAGAGAGTTCGGCACCCCGGTGTTGTCGTGGGAAGTGCACGCCGTGAGAGGAGATGCTGCAAATTCCACCGAGTGGCGATCTCATAAGATATTTGGATCTGAACTGTGGTCCGCATTCTGCACGCCCCGCATTACTTTGGACGACGCGGCCACGGTGGTGACAAACATTAGCCCTCAGCATTCATCCGCTTTGCTTTGGCCTGATTTGGCTTGGGTCCCCCTGACAAACACTGGGCTGAACCAGAAGCATCTGTGGGAGAGCAAGCTTTCTCAACAGGGCCTTTACACGATGGCAGATCGCGAACGTGCGCGCGTGCAGGACTTTGCATGTTATGCGTTCAAAGCTCAGACTCGGTCCAGGCTTCTATCCTCGTATGCCACGGCTGGATTCGGCTTGGCGCGCTGGCTGACTTGATTCAGAAATCAAGCATCACTGTTTGTCAGATTCTCGCGTTGGATGGTTTGCCAGCCCCCCCGTTACTGCGCCCAGGAGGCCACGGACAACTTGACGGAGAGCGAGGCGATGTTGCGCTCCATCGCTCAGCAACGCCGCCCGGGGGAGGACGAGGAGGAATGCCATTGGAAACATATCGCTGTATTCTTGGGGGGAACGGATGCTGGCCCCGACGTCAAGGGCTGCCGCACTCGCATGGTTCAGGAGATGAAGCACTCGCCTTTCGTTTGGATATGTTGGACGTTCTGCCTCATCCATCAAATGCACTTAATGGCGAAGAAACAATTGTCGAAGCACTCGTCTTATTATTCTAATCTGGCCAAGATGGCCAATTGCTGGAGGGCCCCCCACATGTCAGCACGAATCTACAAAGTATGGGAAAGTCTCACCAGCAGTGACAGAGCCAAGGCGGCTGCTGGTCGATTGCCACCGAGGCCCCTCATCGGCCGCTTCGGAGCATGTTATAAGACAGCAGCCTTTTTCCTTTTCGCCACCCAGCGCGAGGTCTCAGCAGTATTTCAAAAGGTATTTGACCCTGAGGCAGCAGGAGATCCCGCTGGCAACCCCGACGACCTTGCACTGGACCCTGAGGCCGAAGGCTACAGGCAGAGGATGGGGAGGTGGCAGGCAGATGCGCTGGCAGCCGCCCACAGCGCAGAGCACTGGGTGACAACTGCAATATTTCACGTTTCTGGAGGTCCTCTGACCCATTTGCTCCACTGGTTTGAAAAGAAGTCGAAGGGGATGGCCGATCGGCGCCAGGACGTGTTCGAGGCCAGCTGCGTGTCCACTCTATCGGAGCTCGTGGTATCCGTGTCGGCTGAGATCGCAGGGGAGTGGGATGCACTGCTCGAGGAGGGGAGTCCGTACGCCGAGAAGTGGGAGTCCGTTTGGTTTCATGTTCCAGGCGACGTGGATATGAGTTCTATTCGACTTACTTGCGTGGAACATGTGCTTGATCTGGCGGCCGACTTCAACCGACGCTTCGTGCGCCAGTTGGCTGAGTTTCCTTACACGATACTGTGGATGTCCCACGACGACTACAACGTCAGGTCGGAGAAGCGTCGGCAGGTGGCTTCCACGTGGCTGCAGCTTCTCTATGATGATCCTAGTGGGAATTCATATTGTGATGATGTTTCTTTGGCTACACCTTGGAAGATTGCATATTGCTGCCAAACAGAGCTGGAGGATCCTGCATGTTCTGCATGTTCCTGTTTGTGTTGTTATCATCCGCCCCTCCTTGCTCATCCTCCTCGCCCTTTCCCCTCCTGCTCCTCCTGTTCTTTATCCTCCTTGCCCCTCCTGTCCCTCAAACGCTGGCCCCATTGCGTCGCTCGTCTACCCTGCCCCGCTCCGTCCTTCCATCCCGGGGGGCCGCTTAACATATTACCCTGGCGAAGGACCCAACAATATGCAGCTGTGAGTGCCGCGTTGTGGGCACCGCTCTCGGTGGAAACCCCAATGGGGCCACGATCCTGGTGAGGGGTGTGCCGAAATGGGCGGGGGTGCGCGTGCCAACCCTGCCGCTGGGGCCTTCGGTGGAGCCTCGTGAGGGGTGTGCCGAAATGGGTGGGGGGGGCGCATGCAAACCCTGCCGCTGGGGCCTTCGGTGGAGCTCCCTATGGGACCGCCATCCTCATGAGGGGTGTGCCGACATGGCGGACATGCGGCGAGCAGAAGCAGGATTGGGAGGAGGGGGGAGGGGGAGGGGGGGGGCAGCGGGAGGAGGTGAGACGCGGGGCGCTGTCTCCTCAAAACGAGGACCCAACACTACAGGATGATTGGGAACAAATAATATAGCAGGAGACCTCCCGCTCCGGGCTCTTGGAGCTTCAGCTTTGGGAGCTCTTTCACTGCATCGGTTGCATGCTCGCCTCCGACACCCAGGAGATCGAAGGCCTCAATTCAATAATTAAGAAATTGTTCTCGATGGCGCCCGCCACAGGCCTCAAGTTAATATCTAGCAGAGCTCTGCTGAAAAAGTCGATGTCTTGGATTGGCAAGTCCCCGGAGTCGTTGGACCACGCCGTCTCCATGTGCGTTTCCCTGCACAGTGAGGCGTTGATCGCTCTGGATGATAAGGCCAGGTTCCCGACAGATCCATTAGAGTGCCCATTTCTACCACTGCAGGGCCCCGAAGAGTTACATCCGCTGCAAGATGGGCCCGCTCGAGCTGAGGATGAGATCCCCGAGGGGCCCGACCAGCCTGAGGAGGAGGCAGGGGGGCAGCCACGGGCCCCCGAAGAGCCGCCGCCTCTTCTCGATGCTGCTGTTGCGCCGAAGCGCGCCAGAGCAGCCCCGCAGCCGAGATGTGCCGCTCGAGTGGCCGCGACACTTCTCACCCTTTACCCAGGTCGTACGCCTAGTGCCAAGTGGGTGGTCTGCCTGACAGTTGGAGGCAAGCGCATGGACACCGCTTGGATGGTCGCTCATAAATTCAATCGTGGGTTCTGGATGGCAGTGGGCATTCTCTCGAGCGAGCACTTCGTATTGAATCTACCATTGTCGTTCTTGCCAATCAAAGCTGTGTGCGATCTTATTCATGCTGAACTGCGCTGCCGGTGCGGCAGGGATGGGAGACTCAGGCCCGCAGTTAAGCTCGTGGTGCTCAGAGTGTCCTGGGACCAGGAATCACTACGGCGAGCTCGACTCGATGGCCAGCACGGAGCGCGGAGTCTGGCTGGCGTTTGCAGGTGCTGGGCGGCTAGGAGAGTGAGGCGGCGTGATGACGGAGATGATGGAGGTGGCGACGACGGCGCAGGCGGAGGAGGACCCCTCGGCGACGCCGCTGACGACGGTAGCGATGGCGAGGCTGGAGACGATGGTGCCTTCGACCAATCCTTGCTCGCTGAACTGTGGGCTGAGTTTGAGAAGTCTGCAGCTCGCCCAGGCGAAGACGAGGGTGGCCCCGACGTCGACTCTGGCGGCGGCGGCCCTACAGCATTCGAGGGCTTCTTGGCTGCCAAAGGGGGGCCGGGCGATGCCGGCGAGGACGAGGGCGGCGTCGATCCAGCTTTGCTCATCGAGATGGAGTCCATGGAGAGGGCGGCAGCACTGGCGACGGCGGCTACTGGGCAGAGTGGCGAGGCGATCGCGATGGACCGACGGGCAGCGGAGCTGAAAGACCGAGATCACACCATGGAGCACGACTTGGCGAGACTAGAGGAGGAAGCATATCTGCAGGCGGCGTTGGAAGCTGGCATCGGGGCAGGC